ACTACTTCTTCCAGCTCAGCAAGTGCCACGCCTGCAAGTTTGTTATAACATACTTCTTCATTATGTTATTTCCTCACATGTAATGAATGCTTTAAATAGCTTTTCTGGTTGTTAGTTCTCTCTCTCTTCTTCTTCCCTTTTCTCCCTAAATTTCGTTTTCCTCTTCTATAAAATTCTCTGTAAATTGCTGAAGTTCATCATTGGAGTTAACTGTGTTCATTAGATTTTCTGGTCTTTGAATATTTGTTATGGTATCAAAGCCTAACAAGGTCAGTTGTTCGTTTTTCGATTGCGTTGAAGTTTTCGCTCAGATTTATCGATTTTTGTGGTTGATATTCTGGTTGCTATATAATTTTTTGAGTACTTAGAACTCTGTTGATTGTTTGGTTGAAGTGTTGATTGATTGATTGGAGTTATTTTTTGGGGTGAATCACTGATTTGTTGAAGTAAATTCGAGTTAGTTCAATTTGAATCTATTTTTTTTTTATTGAATTTTTCGACCAAAGGAATACCTAGATCATCTCACCATGCCTGAATCAAATAATCTTGTTCTCACAAGTGATCCTTCTAGTGTCTACTTCATCCATCCCTCAGAAAACCCTGCCAATCCTCTAGTTACAGAAAAATTTACTGGAGAAGGCTATAATGAATGGAAGAGAAGCATGATTACAACTCTTTTTGCCAAAAATAAGTTGAGTTTTATTGATGGAACATTGTTAAGGCCAACTTCTGGACCTGAGGATCAAGCATGGGATCATTGCAATGCAATGATCACAAGTTATATTCTGCATTCAGTTGATAGCAACATAGCTAGGAGTGTTTTGTATTTCACTTCTGCAAGGGAAATCTGGAAGGATCTTGAGGAGAGGTATTCACAAAGTTCAGGTCCTCAATTGTATACCTTACAGCAATCTTTGAGTGAATTATCTCGATGTTCAACTCCTATTGCTTAGTTTTTCACAAATATCAAAGCTATATGGGATGAAATTAATGGTGTGAATCCTATACTAGTGTGTACATGTAGTGGTTGTACATGTGATTTGACTCAGAAGATTGTGAAACAGCAGTAGGAAGAGAGACTAGTTCAGATGTTGATGAAGCTGGATGGTAGATATGCTGGTATGAGAACAAACATTTTGATGATGCAACCTCTGCCAAATATCTCAGTGGCTTATAGGTTATTGATGCAAGAAGAAAAACTAAGACAAGCTAGCATGCTAGATGATAGAAATAACATGGAATTTGCAGCTGATGGAAGGAGGTACAATCAGTACTATATACCTCCAAGACCTGCATGAAATGTCAGATACCAGAACACAGGACATATGAGGCCAACCACTAATTTTTCTTCAGGAAATGGAGGATTTGTGCCTAATATGAGGTGAAATTCTGGTCTATTTTGTGGTCATTGTAAGATGACAGGACACACTATAGACAAGTGCATCAAGATACATGGATATCAGGCAAACTTTGGTTAGAACAAGTACAAGGGCAAGAAGATTGCTACAATAGTTTATGGAGATGAGGAGGCTGAAGGTGACAACAGCTTTAAGACTGCTCACATTTCTATGGGGCAGTACAATCAGTTTCTTAATCTGGCGAACCAGGAAGATCAACATTCTAGAGGCAACAGTGCTACAAGTGTGTAACATGGGTCACAATCTTCTGGCCAGCTTATGTTGCAGGGACCTGTTTTTTGACCTGATTCTTCTATAGATTTGTTTGATACTTATCATAAATACAAAGTATCCAAACATTATCACTGTGGCTGATGGAAAACAAGTGGTAGTTGAACACATAGGAATTGTTAAGTTCCAAAATGGGATAGAGCTGAAAAAATGTGTTACATGTCCCTGGTTTTCAGTTCAATTTGATATCCACACAAAAATTATGCAAAGATCTTGGTTGTGACATAAAGTTCACACAAGATACTTGTGTTATTCAGGATCCTGTACAAAACTCTTCCCTGGTTAGCTAGAATCTGGCTTATATGCTGTAGCAGAAGGAGATGAATCTCAACAACATAATAAGGCAAGAAAAACTGGTATGATTTCTGTCTCGAGTTCAGAAGATGCTAAACTTTGGCATTTAAGGCTAGGTCACATGCCTTTTCAATAAACTGCATCATGTTAAGGATATGTTTTCTTGTAATATAGAACATGACATTATTTTTCAAATATGTCTTAAGGCAAGATAGACTAGGCTTCCCTTCCCTAAGAGTCATATTAAGAGTTCTGCCAGTTTTGAACTTCTTCATATAGACACTTGGGGTCCTTACAAGTTAAGCACACATGAGGGTTTTACTCTATTTTCTTACCATTGTTGATGATTACTCAAGAAGTACATAATTTGATGCTGTGAAAATCATGGAAAATTTTGCTATACTTGTTCAAAACCAGTTTAATGCAAGTATAAAGTGTATAAGATCCGATAATGCTAAAGAGCTGTGTGAGGGTGAAATGTTAGTTTTCTACCAGAAACATGGTATAGTGCATCAAAGGAGCTGTATTGGCACACCTCAGCAAAATGGGGTGGTAGAAAGAAAGCATAGGCATCTGTTAGAGACTACTAGGGCTCTATATTTTCAGTCAAAGGTTCTTGACCAGTTTTTGGGAGAGTGTTTGCTTGCTGCAACACATCTCATTAACATAATGCTATTAAGCTCAATTGGTTTTGCTAGTCCTTATGAATGGCTATTTGGCACAAAACCTGTCATAGATCACTTGAGAGCCTTTGGCTGCCTTTGTTATGCTTCAACTCTCAAATCACATAGAACCAAGTTTCAACCAAGAATTGTTCCTTGAATTCTTGTTGGCTATCCACCAAAAGGCCTATAAGCTATTTGATCTTGAGAGTAAGAAAATTTTCATCTCTAGATATGTAATTTTGCATGAGAAGCACTTTCCTTACCATTTCTCTTCACCAAACCTAAACCCTTTTTCTTACCTACAATCACTCCTTTTACCCTAGACACAGACTTCACTGTCCCTGAACCTTTTGTTCTACATACAGACAACTTACCTCATACTCCACCCAATAACCCTAACACACCACAAAATACACCACCTTATACTTCACCCAATAACCCTACAACTCATGACATTCCTGATTTTGCAGTAAACATAGATCTTGTCATTGATCCAGTTCCTTCTCAAACAAATCCAGTTCCTATAAGACAGTCTTCCAGACTTGTCAAACCCCCATCTTGGATGATTGATTATGTTACTGGTGCGGTTCATCTTTGATGACCTACCTTCACCTCATAAGGCCTTAATTTCTCAAATTGGTGAAGTTACAGAGCCAACTAGTTATTTTGAGGCATCATAGAATCCTGACTAGGTATCTGCTATGCAAAAGGAAATTCAGGCACTTATGGATAACATACATGGGATCTGGTACAATTACCTAAGGGCAATAAGGCAATAGGATGCAAATGGGTGTACAAGTAAAACTCAAAGCAGATAGGACCATTGAAAGGTTCAAAGCCAGACTTGTGGCTAAAGGTTTCACTCAAAGATATGGGATTGACTTTGAGGAAACCTTCTCACCTGTGGTTAAAATGGCTATAGTAAGATGCTTACTCTCTTTGGCTGCCAGCAAGCATTGGTATTTACATCAACTTGACAAAAACAATGCCTTTCTGCATGGCAAACTTGACAGAGGAAGTTTACATGAAGGTCCCTGATGGCATTCCTAATCCAGATGTTCTTGTTTGCAAGTTGAAAAGATCACTATATGGACTTAAGCAAGCTTCTAGACAATGGTTTGCTAGGTTGAATTTTGGATTGCTTAGTAAAGGGTTCACTCAATCCAAGAATGATTATTCACTTTTCTTGAAGAAAGCTGATACTGATATCACTATTGCTGTCATCTATGTAGATGATATCATCTTTACTGGAAGTGATACTGCTACAGTCCTTGATCTTAAGACACACTTACATCATGTCATCAGTATCAAGGATTTGGGGAGACTTAATTTCTTCCTAGGAATTGAAGTTACACATACTCCTCAGGGAATTATCTTGTCTCAAAGAAAATTCACTAAGGAGTTACTTCAGGATTGTTTTTTGGATGTTTCAAAGACAGCAAAGACTCCTCATCCTGTCAATCTACCGGGTCGGCGGGTCATCGGATCGGGTCAACCGGGTCGGGTGTTTTTGAACACCCCTAATGTCTGCTACTGCTTCAGAGATCACTTGGCTGGTTAGATTATTGCAGGAGCTTGGTAATTCTGATTTGTTGCCTGTAAAGCTTAACTGTGATAATCAAGTTGCTATACATATTGGGAAGAACCCTGTCTTCCATGAGAGGAAAAAAACATATAAAATTGACTGCCATTTCACCAGGGATAAGGTGCTTGAAGGCCTTATTGAACTTTCTTATGTTTCAAGTGCTGATGAGTTGGCTGATTTGCTCACTAAGCCATTGTCTGCTGCTCAACATGTTGAACTCAGTTCCAAGCTAGGACAAATTGATTCTCAATCACCTTCTAGCTTGAGGGGGGGGGGGGGGTATACAGATTCTACTTCTGCCAGCTCAGCAAGTGCCACGTCTGCAAGTTTGTTATAACAAACTTCTTCATTCTGTTATTTCCTATGTAATGAATGCTTTAAATAGCTTTTCTAGTTGTTAATTGTCATAATAACAATTACAGAAACTTCTTTTTCTAAAAGTTCTCTCCCTCTTCTTCTTCCCTTTTTTCTCCCCTTCTTCTCCCTAAATTTAAGTTCATCAATGGAGTTAACTGTGCTCTTCAGATTTTCTGGTCTTTGTATATTTTGTCATATATATAATACAATTAGATCATATATACCTTTAAGTAACTTGGTGATTGCAAAGTAAATTAACTCGGTCTTTAAATTAGCTAAAGACCTAAAATACACATAGATCATCTATATCAAACAGCATTACTAAAGTAATTCGCCACCAAAAGTTGCTAAAATCGTCAACCATTGTACTGTGCACAGGTCATCCTTTCATGAAAATAACCACCAGAAAGAAAAGGTAAAACATTGCTTATGAAATTTAAGGTACATTCATCACATTAGACAATTGAAATTCAAAACACTCTTTAAATGGAAAGTTTCACACATTCGAAAACCCTAAAAACGAACAAAAGAAAATTACATCTCAACATCTAGAAGCACAAACTAACCCTGCGCATACTAGTAGATGCACATAGATTATTCAACATACAACAAAATTAAAAGCCTTCAACTCTGGCCTGTACATGAGGTCACATCCAAAGGTACAAAATGGCAAAAACTATAACGAAATTGAAAAACCGAACTCCATAACTAACTAGTGGTGGCCAGGCAACTTGTCCTTAATCTTGTCCATTAGACCTTTCTTCTCAGCGGGCTCATCCTCATGGTGCTGGATTGTGGTAGTGGTGGTTGTGGCCATGGTGGTTGTCGCGGTATGGTCTACCTCCTGATCCTTGTGCTTCCCACCCGGCATTAACTTATCCTTGATTTTCTCCCCCAATCCTTTCTTCTTCCTTCTCCCACCCGTGGGTGTATGTCCTTCTTCCTCGGACTACAGCAAATTCAACAAAGAATATATTGCATTGAGATTAATTAAATGAAATTCAACAATTGAGTATTTTATTTTATATCCAATTTTTAGACTACAATCATATAATGTGTGTGAAGCTCAAAGATTCCATAACACTTAAAAAAAAAAAAAAATCATGTATATAAAATTTTAGAGCTCATGACTATTTATTTTTTATTTATAAAAGATAAGGGGGGAAAAAAAAAAAAAGCCTTATTAGATAACCGGGAAAATTTTAAAAGCTCATACTACAATTGACATAAAAATATAGTACATAAAAATTTTGATACGATGTACTAGGACTATTACTCGTATTAGGGGCCGACCTATTCATGTGCACAGTGATATACATGACTCACCAATAAAAGAAAAAAAATTGATTTCATGATTTTTGCCCTGCTTTCTTTTATAATTAAAGAGACCTATTATATTCAATAATCTCTCAAGTTATCTCAGCTTTTTTTTTTTTTCATAAAAAAATAATAACTTTTGCCTCTATTTATATCTTGTATTTGTGCAACCAATTTTAATATTTTCCCTCAAAGCTTATCAATTAAGTAAAAAATCATAAAGTTAATGTAATACTCCGTAGTTTTATAGTACCATTTGTTTATAACATGTTATTTTTAGTACTTTCGACCTATAAGATTGAATTTTTAAGTATTATTTGGTGGTAGTATGAATTTTTATGTCCTATTTTGGATTGAAATTTATTTGGTGAAATATTATTGTTATAGATCTGGAAAAAAAATTTGTATTTTCACAAGTGATTTGAAAGTGACTCACCATCTCGAAAATCATGAATCCGCCACGGACTCATATCTGCCTTAGAAAAATGGTTACTTATTTTTAGGTCAAAGTTTAAATTTCTTTGACTAAATATATATTGTCAGTTTCACTCATAAACATATACATCAAAAAATCATCGTATGAATCCTATTACATTCGTCTTCACGAGTATTTTAAATGTATCAAATATTTATACACGCATGCAATTATAAAGGATATTAATTGTCAAAATGTTTGTTTTTTAAGGGAGAGCACAACAAATTAGTTAGTTTACACATTTTATTTTAACAAATTACTATTTATCAAACATGGAGTCATGGAGAGAAATTTTCTTGCAATATTATGAAATGAAACGATATATTGCATGAAGTTACTAAGAATATATACTAACCGATTCACCGGAGCTCGTGCCACTTCGTCGAATCTCTTTAGTAACAATACCAACAGCAGTCCCTCCTGGCTGATCTCTCCTCGGCTGGTGCTGCCCGCCTCCCAAAACATCTCCTAGCGTCCCAGGGGCACGGTGTCCGGGCTCATCATGACCATGCATGCCGCCACCGAGAGTCGCGGACGGCATCCCGCTAGTCATGGGACCTCCATGAGTTCCATGAGCTGCGCCACCAAGTGTCGAAGATTGCATCCCAGTGGTCAAGGGATTTTTTGGTAACACGGCATCACGAGTGGCAGAAGAGTGCGTCCCATGGGTGGCCGTAGAACTGTCATGTCCCACGCCACCATGAGTCCACCCGTGGGTGTCTGAGAGGTTGTCATGTCCCACGCCAGTATGAGTCGTAGTAGACTGCATCCCATGGGTGCCTACGCCGTGGGTGCCCATGAGATTGTCATGTCCCACGCCACCACCATGAGTCTTATTAGACTGCATACCATGGATACCCATGGGATTGTCATGTCCCACGCCACCATGAGTCGTAGTCGTAGTAGAGTGCGTCCTATGGGTACCCATGAGATTGTCATGTCCCACACCACCACCATGAGTTGCAGCCCCGCGGGCGCCCATGAGACTACCCATGAGATCGTCATGTCCCACGCCACCATGATTACCCCCGCGGGTACCCATGGTACTGTCATGTCCTACGTCACCATGAGTCGCAGTAGAGTGCAACCCGCGGGTGTCCACGGGGTTACCATGTTCATCAGTACAAGCGACGCCGGTGAGATGAATGGGATGGCCATGTTCATCAGTAAGCTTAACTGGATGACCATGCTCGTCCGTCAGCTCAACCGGATTACCATGCTCATCCCTTAAATGTTGTTGTTGTGATGCCATCTTCTCCTAACAAAAACACAAATTTTTTTCCTATATGATTTTTCTTACACTACTTCAAGTAACTTTTTTATTTTTACTTTGCTCTAACTTTGGATAGTGATATGATTTTAATTTAGAAAGAGGATAACAATATGATGAAAGAGGTGATAGAGATATAGACAAATTACGTTGCATGGAACAAATAGAGTAGTGGAGCTTTGTGTATGGTTTAGAGAAGAGAGTAAACACGTGTTTGATAGATATCGTGAGGTGCTTCCACGTTTGTAATTATATGGTTGATTAGTGTCTTAGTGCAAGGTTAACACGTGCTACGGATGTTTTCGGTTGGCTGATGACTATTGAGTTGGGATGTTTTCGGGTAAGCTCTACGCTGCAAATACATCTACTTGTATTATTATACATTTAAATGTATCATGTGCACGATTCACTAGTTGAAAAATATGCTTATTTATCTTGTTTAAACTTATTATTCTATGCTCATTTTTGTTTAAACTTATCTTATTTATACTTATTATCTTAAATTATTTACACCGTATCCATAAATTATTATTAATGCAATAACTTAATTACTATTATTTTTTTTTATGGCAGAACTTAATTACTATTAATGATGAGTATCAAAACTTTTGTATGAATTAGATAAGTAAAGCAAAACTGAGCTTATTAAATTAACAACTGTATGAAAAATAGTTTTGAGATAAGCATAATTTTGCTTATTTTAATGAAAAAAATTGCACTTTTCAATAGATAACTTGCAGGGGAAAGAGTTAAATTCCAAGTTAAGAGATGTTAAGGAAAATCATATCACCAAATTAAACAATATAAAAACCTTGTATAATGTATATTATGATATGGAGTTACACTTATATTAGGATATATTCCCCTTATTTTAAGATTGTTTTAATACAAATAAGATAAGAGAATTAAAATTCAAGTGACAAGAACACTCTTTTGAGCTAAGTCTCTTGAAAGTGAAATTTTTATAGTACACCCAAGTGTACCATGCTTGGTACACTAGATGAAAAACTATAGTAATTTTGTTGTTTTTTTTAGAAAAAAGAAAAATCAGTTTTTAAATATGTCTTGCTTAATTGAAGGAATTTGTTAATTATATCCATATTTACAACTTTCAAAATATTAATCTCCATAATTCTCGATAATTTAATTTGTGAAATATAGAGAGAATTCGTTTAGAGAGAGAATTGACGGTGCGTGGTGAATTTCATCACGATTATGATCGAAGATCTCATAATAATGCTTATTAGAATGATACTTTTGAAAATGAAGGTTGAATTAAGGAGTTCATGACCAAATAAGAAGGTAGTTTTTAGAATTTTTTATTTTAAATTTCATAATTTTGGTGTTATTGATGAAAATGATGATTTTTATATTATTATATTTTTTATTATTATTATTGTTAACAAATTCGTTATTGAAAGTATATAATTTTCAATTAATTTTAGTTTCTACATTTTTTTTCTTGAATTCGTGTTATTTCTAAGGTTGAAGGATGATGTTCTTCATATTATGATGAATGTTCTTTTAAAATTAAATAGAATGAAATATATACTTTCTAGTCTGATCAATATATGTTTATTGAGTCTGAACTATATGTTCTTTTTACATAACAAAATATGTTCATTAATGTATGTAGATTAAAAATGTTCCTTGGATTTTAACAATACGAAGTATGTTCTTTTTACTTGAATAGTATGTTCTTATACTTTTATATAATCATCCAATGCATGGTTTATTATCAATTTTGATATTTGATGAATCTATATATTAAATTTGAGATTTAATGTTTATTTTCAATTTTGATATTTGATGAATCTGTATATTAAATTTGAGATCAATCTGACAAAGGTTGAGGAGCGATGTTCTTTTTAAATATGGTTAAGTTCATTGTTATCAAACTAATTGCTCTGAAATCAATGATGAATTTTAATTTAATTCACATGTTCTATTTAAATATTACTTATATATATATATATATATATATATATATATATATATTTTTGTGAAGCCAAGAAAGCATAATTATATTAAATCAATTTCTGCCAAAGTATGAAGGCTTTGGGGAAAAGAGTTCGTACAAATAAGTTCCGAGTTTGCATTCACAACCCATCGAGCAACCAAGTGAGCTAATGAATTACCACTCCTTTTCACATGCTTACATTGGAAAAAATTAAACAAATTACTAACAGTAGAGATATCCTCATAAAGAAGAAAAATAGGAGCATGCCCCTTTTGCCTAGACTGAATAGCACGAGTTACTTGCAAAGCATCACACTCAGAGGACCACTTCATCATAGCCAAGCCTATATCCAAGCTCCACCCCAAAGCGCGCAGCACCAGCCTCTACCATATATAACCGGACTCTAGTGAACATCAATGTGCTTCATAGCAGCTGGTAACAGATGCCCTCTTGACCCTCTAATCACTGCTCCAAATTTTATCCCCTGCACTGCATCACATGAGCATCTACATTAATTTTCACCCTTCCACTCAACGGGGGCTACCAAGATCCTCTCAAAGCAGGAGAAGACCCCCCACTTGGCTTGCAAACTTTAACATTATAAGCACAATAGTCGTAGAAAATCTTCACAAACCCAGTGCCAATACGCACAGCATCAACACTAGTTCCACCCTTGAAAATGGGCTATTTCTACAATGCCATATAGCCCAAGCCAGAGAAGCAAAAACACTCAGGCGTTCTTTGCTAACCATCACAGCCATCCATAGAAGCCTAGCATCAAAAGAGGTTGTAGGAGCAGTATTTAATGAATCACCAAAGCCACTCCTCTCCCATATCGCCACTGCATAAGTACAACTAAATAGTGAATGCATGATGGACTCATCATCACATCCACATATAGAGCAGCGAGAAGAAGCACTTATGTGGTGCCTATGAAGCACTCCCATTACTGCCAACAACCCCTTACACGCACTCCATAAAAAATGGTTGAGTTTAGGAGGACCTCCAACACTCCAAATCAACTTCCACAAGGAATTAGAATTTTCCCCATGGAATAGATCCTGTTTGGGTCCAATTTAGTCCAATTGGGCCTGGTCACTGAATGATCCAATTAAAAGCCCAAGGCAAAGGTTCAACTCTCCAAATATGCTAAAGTCAAAAATCAACATCCTCAAAGCCATGTCAAGGTCAGTCAACGGCCCAATCAGCTTGGCCCAGCCCAACTGATTTCCGGGCCCAATCCGCCTCCTTCATTAGCCAAGGTATAAAAGCCAACAATTTGGTCAATTCTTGGTAAGAAGAGTAAGACAAAAAAGACAAAGACAATAAAGCCTCAAGCAACTAAACTCTTGCACAGCTTTCTCTCTCTAATATACTGACTTAAGCATCGGAGGGGCCTTCCTCGGCGTCCCCCCCGAGGCTAGTTTACGTGTATTTGTCGTGCAGGAAACCCTCGGCACCTGCGTCGTTCGGACCGAGACCAAGTTCCCTCAAGATAAAAGGATCTTCCGAGATTCGATTGTTTTCATCCGAAACAATTTGGCGCCGTCTGTGGGGAACGCTACTAAATTTCGCGTCAGTCATCAAACACTCCGGCAGTCGCCATGACTAAGAGTGGAAAGAGTTCCAAGAAGGCTAAGAAGGGAGGAGGCCGGATTACGGTGAGGGAACGCCAGCCGGTTTATCCCTCCCCGGAGCAAGCCTCTTCCGAATCGGAGGCCCCCATTTCTCCGGAAAGGGAAGCCTCAAGAGGTCCTAGCCTCCAGGAGGAGAACACCTCGCACCACACTCGGCAGCCGGGGCCATCCCCGAGACCGAGTGGCTCAGGTGCGAGGAACTCCCCGCCGCGCCATAGCGTGCAATCCAGGTCACATCCGCAGGAGACTCCTCCCTCCGGACCCTCCACCGAGGAAGTGGCCAGAGCAGTGGCCATCTGCATGGAGTTCCTTAAAGCTCAAGGGGCTCCAATCCAGATGCCTGATGATCACCAGCCGAGAAACCTGAAAAGGAGGATCGGTCAGGATGATGGTGGACAAGTTCCACCACATAGACAGCTCGGCCAGAGGTGGCGAGGGGACACCCGAAACTCCAGTAAGGAGAGGAGGAGGAACCCTCAACCCTCTGACCACTCTGAAGCTCAGAATTCTATGGGGCCCTCCAAGGACCCGGAATTCGCCCGCCGAAGCATTCACGAACGCTTGGGTTCGAGGGAGGTGAGTGTGCATAGCCGCCTCACCTTCCCAGAGGATACCGGACCCCACCCAACCTTGTCTCAGCCGGGGACGAAAACCACTTCCACCTCTGAGAGAGGAGGGAGCGAGGTCCCTGAGGCTGGGTACAAGGGGAAGGCGGTCATGGTTCCATCGAACTCGCCCTTCCAGAAGTGGATTCTGGAAGAGCATGTGCCAACGGTCAAAATCCCGGCACATATTACTTACGATGGTACCTCAGATCCTAAGGATCACGTTGCCTCTTACGAGGGGCACATGTATCTGAACCCGAGGTCTGAGGCTACCTGGTGTAAATACTTTCCTACGACCCTCAAAGGTGTTGCCCAATCCTGGATCACCAAAGGGCTCAAGGAAGGCTCCATAACCGGTTGGAACGACCTCTCCAACAAGTTCAAGAGCAAATTCTCTACGGCCAACCGCCGAGAGAAGACCACTGCAGAGCTAATGAGTCTGCAGCAGGCGGAGGACGAGAGCCTCCGCGACTATCTGACTCGCTTCAGCAACGAGTCATCCGGAATCACGAGCCTGGATCAAGGCCTGGCCGTGTTCGCGCTACGGAACGGCCTCCAAGCTGGAAAGTTCCTGGACTTCATGGTCATGCATCCCCCGCAGACCCTGGAGGAAGCCTTGGAAGCATCGGATAGGTTCATCCGAGCCGAGGAGTGGAACAGATCCAGGTCTCAGTCTCGTCCGAGAATTGAGAAGCCGAAAGGGCAGCAGCCCGAAGTCTCGGCGCAGAGGAAAGGGAAGGCTAAGGCCTCAGAACCGTCCTCTGCTGCCGAGCCGAAGAAGGAAAGACACTTTCCCTACACGGGAAGGTACGATTCATACACTCCACTCTCCCTTCCCCGTGCTAAGATTTTCAGCACGACGAAGGACGAGGGGAGATTCAAAAAAACCTCGTCCGTTGCCTCCCTGGCATCAGACGAGGGAAAGGACCAGTGGTGCGAGTTCCATGACTCACCCGGACATCGCACCGAGGACTGCGTCCAGCTGAAGGACCAGATTGAGGATCTGGTCCGCAAGGGGTACCTGAGCCAATACCTCGCGGACAGGCGCGAGGAGAAAAAAGCTGAAAAAGATTCTCGGCAGGACCTCAACTTCGCTCGGAAGAAGGATAAGGGACCTCAGGGCAAGGAGTCCCTCGACATCCTAGTTATTTCCGGGGGAATCTCGCGAGGCACAGCCAAACGCCAACTGAGGGGTCTAACCCATCAGATTCATCAGGCTGAGCTTCGGCAGTCCCAGTCACCGGCGCCGAACATCCTGTTCACAGCCGAAGACTGTGAGGGGGTGGTATACCCCCACGATGACCCACTAGTAATCATTCTGGGCATCGCCAACCGCAACGTCTGGCGGACCCTCGTCGACGGCGGTAGCGGGGCGAACATCCTCTTCCGAGGAGCGTTCGACCAGCTGAGGATGGGAGCCGAGCACCTGGACCCCGCACCCTACCCGGTGTCTGGATTCAACGGCTCTTCATCGTATCCTGACGGGAAGATTACACTTCCTGTCACCATCGGCGAAGGCCGAGCAGCTAGGAATATCATGGCCGAATTTTTGGTCGTAGATGCTCCATCTGCATACAACGTGATCATGGGGAGACCCCTCATTCACGGCATTCAAGGAGTCGTCTCCACGTATCATCAAATCATGATATACGTTTCAGACGAGGGACGCTCCGAGAAAATAAAGGGCAGTCAAAAAGAAGCCCGCCGATGCAATCACCTCAAGCCATCCACGTCTCGCCGAGGCGACCGTGGCGATGGGGAGGAAAAGCACCGGGGCCGAAACGCCAAAAAGCCGAGAGGCTCAGACGTTTCGGCTAATGAAGCCCCAGACAACGAGAAAATCTGATGGGGGCCAAGAGGCTGACTCCGCCTCAGAGCCGAACGACTCTGATGGCCAGCCGCGGTCAGGAAAGTCTGCTAATATTGATAGCAGGCCGGAATTCGAGGAATCCAACTCTAAGAGCATGGAAACGGATGACCTGACCGAGTCAATAGAACTGACCGTAGGAGATCCGAACAGATGTGTTAGCATTGGGTCGTCACTGGAGCCAAACACCCGTGCGGCACTCGTCCAACTCCTACGGGCCAGTGGAGACGTGTTCGCCTTCTCAGCCGCAGAAATGCCCGGGATTGATCCGGACTTCGTCTCCCATAGGCTTAATGTCGACCCCTCCAGTCGACCCATTAAGCAGAAAAAAGCGGAACTACTCCGCCGAAAAGAACCAGAACATCGCAGCTGAGGTCGATAAGCTCCTAGATGCTGGGTTCATTGAACCCTGTCAGTATCCGGAGTGGCTGGCCAATGTTGTAATGGTTCAGAAGGCAAATGGTAACTGGAGGATGTGCGTTGACTTCACGGACCTGAATAGGGCATGTCCCAAGGACTCCTATCCGCTGCCGAGGATCGACCAACTGGTCGACTCGACAAGCGGGCATGCTCTGCTCAGTTTCATGGACGCATTCTCGGGATACCATCAGATCTTCATGCACCCCGAGGACCGAGCTAAAACAGCGTTCATAACAAGTTCCGGGTTGTACAATTACAGAATGATGCCCTTCGGATTGAAAAATGCGGGGGCAACATATCAGAGGTTGGTTGATCAGGTTTTCGCCGAGCAAAAAGGCCGAAACATGGAGGTTTATGTTGACGACTCAATCGTCAAAAGCATAAAAGAAAAAGATCATGTCACGGACCTAGCCGAAACCTTCGCCACCCTCAGAAAAATACAAAATGAAGCTGAATCCGAAGAAATGTGTCTTCGGCGTGAAGTCAGGCAAGTTCCTCGGCTTCATGGTCAGCAAGAGGGGGATTGATGCAAACCCCGCCAAAGTACAAGCTGCTTTAGACCTCCCCGAGCCGAAGACAAAAAGGGATATTCAGCGTCTAGCCGGGAGAATGGCTGCCTTGTCCAGGTTCATCTCACGAGCCTCAGACAAAGGGCTCCCTTTCTTCAAGGCGCTGAAGCTCCAAAATTCAAAAGGCATTGAATGGGGAGACGACCAAAAGTCAGCCTTTCAGCAGCTCCGTGAACACCTGGCTCAACTCCCAACACTGGCAAGGCCAGTCGTAGGAGACATCCTATACTTATACGTGGCGGTCAGTCCAGCCACGGTAAGCGCGGTGCTGCTAAGGGAAGAAGAAAAAGTTCAACAGCCGATCTATTTCGTCAGCCACACCCTGACGGATGCCGAGACGCGCTACCCATTGTTAGAAAAAGTGGCTTATGCAGTGGTGGTGGCTGCTCGGAAGTTGCGACCCTATTTTGATTCTCATCAAATAGCGGTTCTAACTGATCAGCCGTTAGAGAAAGTCCTCGGCAAGGTTGAAAAATCCGGTAGACTAGCAAAGTGGGCTTTCGAGCTCACCGAGTTCAGTATCGGTTATCAGCCGAGAACAGCCATCAAGGCGCAAGCCTTGGCAGACTTCTTGGCCGAGTGCTCCTATCAGGAAACTCTGGATGCAAGGAGGAAAATCTGGACCGTCTTCACGGATGGGTCCTCCACCGTGAACGGGGGGCAGGGGTCGTCATTACCTCTCCCGAAGGCAAAAACCTTCGAGTATGCACTAAAATTTTCATTCAAAGCCTCTAACAACGAGGCCGAATATGAAGCAGCCATTGCTGGCTTAGACCTGTGCATATCGTTGGAAGCCGAGCATGTCTACCTCAAGACAGATTCTCAG